TCATTTACTATTTCTTTCAATTTAAGTGTTTCTCCCCTCTTTTCTTTTCTTTTCTTTTCTTTTCTTTTCTTTTCTTTTCTTTTCTTTTCTTTTCTTTTCTTTTCTTTTCTTTTCTTTTCTTTTCTTTTCTTTTCTTTTCTTTTCTTTTCTTTTCTTTTCTTTTCTTTTCTTTTCTTTTCTTTTCTTTTCTTTTCTTTTTCTTTTCTTCTCTTTTCTTTTCTTAGATTCATTCTTACACTTGTCAGTGAAAGAGCTGAGTACTGATTGCCTTTTGTGAGCACTTTTGGACTTCAGAGGCAGGATGATACAGGAGGCAAAACAGATTTCAGGAATAAATAAAGAATCACAGTCTTTCATCTAATGAACCTTCTAGCTGCCTACTTCACTTAGGAAAAGAGGCTTGTGATACAGGAGTCAATTGCAGTGGGTAATGTGCTGCTACCTCAAGCCTCTTTGAAAGTTTATGATTTTTTGTGATGGTGATATACTACTTGTATTTTAAGAAACTCAGAACTACCTTATCATATCTTATCTTGTATATTTAAATTAGCTAAGAGTAGTTATTTGTTTTGACAAGCCACAGGACCTTTTCAGCAGCAATCCTGGCAACGGCCATAACAGCCATGGCAAGAAGGGTTATAATCTACCTCTACAAAGAGCATCACTGACTCTAAACTGGCTCTCAGTTATTTTGGTGATTGGTACTTATCAAGAAGCCTGATACCTGTGGATTTTTGAAAATATTGAAAATATTGACATCTAGAAACATAAAGGTAGGTAGATAGGCTATATCTGATCCATTCACCAAGAGGTGCATAGTTCAGAGACCCATGTTGTCAGGACAAGAGTCAAATCAGAGTTGACCTAATCCATCAAATTAATTTTGCATGAGCTAATGAGCTGTGTAAACATTCTGATATTATCAATCTATGTGTAGCAAGGAGCTGCATATAATGTGATCAAAGCAGATTAATTTGGACCAAATGTGCACTTAGTTTTGGTCACACCATGTACTGCAAAGTAACACTTTATGAACCAATCTCCACAACATGTCCTGCATACAAGTATTTACTTCAGTGGAAGTCAAGTTATATGTAGATCATGTAACGGGGCAGGGTTTGGTGTGACTCACTGCGCTGTGATGATGCTTCCAGGTGACCACCCTCTCTTAATCCTCTCTGTATTCCAGCAAAGCTGCAGCAAGTCAGAAAAAAACTCTCCATTCTTTTTCCTTTCCTTTCCTTTCCTTTCCTTTCCTTTCCTTTCCTTTCCTTTCCTTTCCTTTCCTTTCCTTTCTTCCTTTCCTTTCCTTTCCTTTCCTTTCCTTTCCTTTCCTTTCCTTTCCTTTCCTTTCCTTTCCTTTCCTTTCCTTTCCTTTCCTTTCCTTTCCTTTCCTTTCCTTTCCTTTCCTTTCCTTTCCTTTCCTTTCCTTTCCTTTCCTTTCCTTTCCTTTCCTTTCCTTTCCTTTCCTTTCCTTTCCTTTCCTTTCCTTTCCTTTCCTTTCCTTTCCTTTCCTTTCCTTTCCTTTCCTTTCCTTGCCTTTCCTTTCCTTGCCTTTCCTTTCCTTGCCTTGCCTTGCCTTGCCTTGCCTTGCCTTGCCTTGCCTTGCCTTGCCTTGCCTTGCCTTGCCTTGCCTTGCCTTGCCTTGCCTTGCCTTGCCTGCCTTGCCTTGCCTTGCCTTGCCTTGCCTTGCCTTCCCCTTCCCCTTCCCCTTTCCTTTCCTTCCCCTTCCCCTTTCCTTTCCTTCCCCTTTCCTTCCCTTCCCTTCCCTTCCCTTCCCTTCCCTTCCCCTTCCCTTCCCTTCCCTTCCCTTCCCTTCCCTTCCCTTCCCTTCCTTCCCTTCCCTTCCCTTCCCTTCCCTTCCCTTCCCTTCCCTTCCCTTCCCTTCCCTTCCTTCCCTTCCCTTCCCTTCCCTTCCCTTCCCTTCCCTTCCCTTCCCTTCCCTTCCCTTCCCTTCCCTTCCCTTCCCCTTCCCTTCCCTTCCCTTCCCTTTCCTTCCTTTCCTTCCCTTCCTTTCCTTCCTTTCCTTTCCTTTCCTTTCCTTTCCTTTCCTTTCCTTTCCTTTCCTTTCCTTTCCTTTCCTTTCCTTTCCTTTCCTTTCCTTTCCTTTCCTTTCCTCCTCACCTAGAAAAAGAGTATTCTTTGTCTGTAGAGCTAGATAGATGCTAAGAGACAGATGTTAAGAGGCCCTCCTTTCATGCCTTGTTAGAGAGTGAATGCGAAGGAATTCTAGACAATCAAGTAATTTCTGAGTCATATTTGCCAATATTTTTCATTTGCCTTTATTTCCTTACCAAGGGATTTTTTTTTTCTGTAAGATTTCCAAGTAAATACAATCTAGCTTTGGAAAGTAATGAAAATGGTAATTTCTCTAGGAAAACGGGTTGTGAAATTTCTCAGAGTCCTGGCTCCAGAGGAGCTGATTGCTGAGATGATTTCCATGGCACATACAGTGACTGGTGATGAAACCAATTATTACATTGGAATTAAACTGTGATTTGACTTCTTAGGATCATCCTCACTGGTGGTCTACACGAAAGGCATCCCTTGTTGCTACCTGTACAGTGACTTTGAGGTGCCATGGTTGCATCTCTAGCCCCTGCCCAACAGAACACTGAGTAATGCTCAGCTGTTCCTATTATTTGGGCATGGTACTTTTTCTGTTTCCTTTTCGTGTTACTCATGATGGAGTATTTTGTTTCTCAGCTGTGGCACAAGCAAGGGGATACTCAGTGCTCAACTGAAGGAGAAAAGTGGAAAAAACACTCAATGATATCAATCAGAGAAGGCATAAGCTGCCTGAAGAAAAAAACTGTAGATTTCCACTTTCAGAGGACATTGCTTGCCTTCTACCTTTCAAACTTGTCAGCACAGCTGCTGATCCAAGCAGTATTTCTGACAATTCTCATCAGGGCTGTCCTGCCCAAAGTCAGTGGCCTGCCTATATCAAGAAGCAATCCACATTGTCCATCCCCTTATATCTACTTGGTCATGGATTTTATAGAAAACAGGATACGTTTATACACTTGCTATTTTTGCTATTATTATCATTATTGTTTGCACTGCTTCCTTCCTATACAGTATTAAACACTATGATCTGGGGTGTTCATCACACTCTGAAATCCTGTGCTGTGGAAAATTTGATGCTGGTTCCATGATACTTTCACAGGTAGATGCATTTGCACAAATTACAGCTGAGAAGATAAAAGCAAAAAAAATCATTTATTTTCCCTCTGTCTTTCTGAAAAGATTTTCCCCTTTTGTTATAACATACTGGAAAAAATCTCAGTTTTCAAACCAGATTGACATGTCCCTTGAAATCACCTCTATTTTCATTTACATTTCTTTTGAAATACGTTATTTAATAAATATTGAGAACCATGTTTAATTTCACCTACATTTTTACTCGTATTTTCCATTCCTCAGCAGCTACCACTGCATATCCAGATGTTGTGTCTAACCACTGGGTCAAGCTGCTGATGACCCAGAGCTGCTGAGATCCCTCCACTAGAAAGAGGTGCTGAAACCCTCAGGGTGAGCAGGGAGGAAAAATAAGTATTTTGAAGTCTAAGGGCTAGAATCAAATACACCTTGAATAGCAAAGATTCAGCTCAGATCTTAATCTTACAACATTTGCAGGGCTAATCTAAAGAGAAGAAGAGTGAAAAGAGAGAAATCTAAAGAGAAAAAGAGAGAAAAAAAATTAACCCATTTGTCAGGACATTATAAATATTCATAGCGTATAGTTTTTAGTGGAATACGAGAAAGCTGAAAAATAGGAGAGTGGAAGAAGCAAGTTATGAATTCCTTAATGGATCTATGTGGAAAATATCCATAAGAAGAGAATGTTGTTTTATTTGCAAATAGCATGAAGGAAATCTAGATAGTTTCTGACAGGGAGATCAGTGGTAGCTGATCTTACTTCTTTGGGTTCATTTATATAGATGTTTTGTCCAGTTTCTAGTTTCTTTGGAACCTCTTTCTGGAAAATAGGAATGCATATGGCAGCCATTTTGGATGCCTACTTTCCAAAGATGGTCTAAATCTTCCCTTTAAGAAGTAGAGTTGTGACCAGATACTACAACAGATCCCTTGCTCTGGAAATAAGGAAAGAGAAAGAGGCCTGCAGTGTAAACTCTTAGCAATAAGCAATAAATAACCTGATCAACACAGCAGACTCTAAAGGATGTCAAACTCGTTCCATGAACTTTCTGTCATGAAAATCTGGTTCTCATGGGAACAACAATCCAAATTGTTTTCTAAACATTTTTAGGTATAAATTTTCAATGACTCTAAATAACAGCCAGTTTCATTACATTTCATACTACCATTACCTCCAAAAAAAAAAAAAAAAAAAGATTTTTGGAATGGGTTTTTAAATATAAATTCATATTTTTGAAGAGAAAAAAAAAAACCAAACATGGCAAGATCAGCAACAGTAAGCTTGGAAATGTTCTGAATTTTTGCAACCTTCTATGCTTTAACAAAGGCTCTTATTGGACTGTGACACTCTATGCTTTTTTTCCCTCTGTTTAAATTAAAGTCCCAAAATACTGTCAGGTAGAGATCTGGTAGAGCAAGAGTGGCATAAAGTGAATTTTTTTTTTTTATTGAGAGAATATGTATCCTGTGCAATATGATTTTTTTGTTTGTTTGTTTTGTTTTGTTTTTAAGTAAGTTTACATAAGTAAAGCAAGAAATATCAAGGTAGATCCAGTACTCATACAGGAGAGCCTACTCACGTTTAAGAAATCAGTCTGGTTCTCATAACAAAACCACAACAGTCTGTGAGTATTTTTTGTTTTTAATTTTATAGCAATGTGAGCTCTGCTCTCTATTTACAATACAGCAGTCTTTGTACTGACAAAGTGGAAATGACATTTATCCAAATATACTGGCTCTGTGAACCTTGGTTTTGATGACCTTATGCCTTCTTAGTCTTCTGGTTTAACTGTGTTACTTTTATTGGTGGCTTTAAAGCAGTTAAACATGGTCTGAAAGCCTTTTCTTATTTCCTGCTTCTTTTTTTTTTTTTTTCTTCCTCTTTCTTTTCTCATTGTGGAGAAAATAATGACTATGTCAAGGACAAACACTTGGGTTATGGATTTTTTCTTTGCTATTACTATTTTTATTACAAAGCAGCCCTGAAGACCTTTTAATTCTCTTGATTGTTTAAAGAGGCTTCGTGAAAACATGACATCTCAGATGTGGAGATAGGTATAATTGAGTGCAAAAGCCTGTTTGCCAGGACTCTTCTACAGTAAGAACCTAAGGAATTCAACAAAAAGGATGGGGTCAGTAAGGGTTTAGTGGAATTTGATAGGAGACCCTATACAAATATCCAGATGAAACTATAGCCAATTATTCTGTGCTGAATATTATGCCCTGATGAAAATAAAATACCTGAGTTTAATCTTTCATTCAGAGTAAAGATTCGTAGTATAATGACCTGATTTAGCTGAAAAAAGGAAAGAATAACTAAGTCTGACAGCTGAGAACAGAAGGGGGATTAATCTCAAAAGTTGCTATTCTTTGTTTCCCATCCTTTCATTATTATGCAATCAGAGCAAAGAGTTAGTTGCTATAAGTCAGCTCCAATTGCATTGCTTGGAGAAAGGGAGAAGCATGAAGGAGGGAGATTTTCCTTTGCTTACAGACAGAGAAACTGACAAGAGAACTGAGAGAAATGGAGCCAGTCAGTCCATCTCTCAGTCTGCCTGGAGCTTAGGGCAGAAGTGGGCTAACAGTGCTCTCATTCAGCTCCAGCACAGCAAGGGCAGCTGCAGGTAGTTACAACAGGGTGGCATGTCTCACAAGGTGCAGTAATCCCACTGAATGCAGAATTTTACGCTTTTCAGCCTTAAATTTGAACTCCTGTATGTCTGACTGGAGGAGAAAGAGAGAGACTATGTTGCAGCATACATCAGAGTGTTGACTGCTCTTCTGATCTGTCTGACGGTGCTTCCTCTTGGCACATAACATGATGCCAATTCTCATTCATCTTGTGAACATATACAGCAACCAGCTTACTGCCATCCCTTGTGCACCACTAAACATTGGTGGTTGTTGCAAGGCACACCCCTGTGCATCTAATCATTCCAGCTGACCAGAGTTGCACTCGATGGTGCTAAAACATACCTTGTATGTTTTATAGCAGCTATTAGAATTAATGCTGTTAGTAATCACATTCTCAATAATCACCACATTAAAGTAACAGGAGACATAAAGATTAGCAAGAAGGCATTCTGTAACTCTGTCAGAAGCAAGAGAAAGACCAAAGACAAAACTGGATTCACTATTAAATTAATAACTAACAAGCTGCCAAAAGATGAGGTTGAGAAGCTTGACATACTATGTTTGTTTGTTTGATTGATTTTGGTGTCTTCACTAGAATGGTCATCTGTGCTCTTAAATTTAACAAAGTTAACCTTAGAAGCAGTAAGGAAAAAAGAGGTATGCCAACTAGAGAGTACTTAGATATAGGATGTCTTTCAGGGAGAAAACCTGCCCAGGGAGGTTGTGGATGCCCCGTCCTTGGACGTGTTCAAGGCCAGGTTGGACGGGGTCCTGGGCAACCTGTTCTGAATGTGTATGTTTGGTGGCCCTGCTAGGCAGGGGGGTTGGAACTGCATGATCCTTGAGGTCCCTTCCAACCCTGGTGATTCTGTGAAAACAGGTTTGAAGACTTAGGAAAATCACTGTTACGTGAAGCTTGGAAGAAGAAATATTATAAATATCAGTGATAATTCTTGTAGCATGGGCAGGCTTCCAGAAGAGTGGTAAGGAGAAAACAGAAGTCTGCCTTTGAAAAGGAATGGCATGAGGAACTAAGAGTTGTAGAGTGGTTCTTTAAAACCAAAATCAAAGAAACCTTTGATGTTTGAACTAGAGTGTCCACTCTAGACATATGATAGACACATGGAATATAACAAAGCAATGATAGACACATGGAATATAACAAAGGAAGAAGTTAGCAACAATCATAGATTTGCTAAGAACAAATTAAGTCAATCACCTAATTTCTTTCTGTAACTAAATACCTGCCTTCATGGACAGTAAAGAAACAGGAAATGACATAGTGTTTTCTCCTGATAATTGTTGATACTATCTCTTATCACATTTTGTGAACTAGCTAAGGTTTCTTCTATAGATTTAACTAGCATAAGACTAGAGTGAAAATATTTGGAAAAATGTATTTAGAAAATAGATACCAAAACCTCACTACCAGTTGGCCAGGTGTTACACTTTTCAATATTTTCATGAATTTTTGGGTGATGCCATCATTTAAGGAGCACACTGTAAGACAGAATTAGACTTTAGAATGAGTTTGAACAGTTAAAGATGCAGTGTAAGACAGCGCAACACAGTACAGTAAGAGGATATTTATGGTATGAAGCTTATACAGGAATTTTGGGTCTAAGTGAATCACAAATTGAACTAGATTAAAAAATGGGATTTTGCTATGAGATAATAGGATAGTTACATAAGTGTATTGTTTGTAGATAATGTGAAATTATCTTCTAAGTTTTGAGTTAAAGGCTCACTGGGAGTATTACATCCAGTTTTGGGAACTAACTTCTGAGAAAGATGTGGTTCAGCTGGAGACATTACTGAAAACAGAACAAGGAGGAGTAGAAAACATGTCTGAAGTGGAAAGGCTTGAGAAAATGGGGAATGTTAAACAGAGAAAGGAGAATATTGGAGGGAAATATAACAGACTTGTACAACTTAGGGGGGAGAGGAAACTGTTCTCTTCATGTTCAGTTGGTAGAACAAGAGATAACAGGATTTAATAGGAACATACAAGACTTTCTGCTGAAAGATAGGAATAATGTTATGAGAGCAAAGACAGGAAAACCATAGCACAAGCTGTGGAATGTTACGGGATACTTGAGCAAAAACTGTGTCACATATGACTTGGGAGAAACTCAGTGGGGAGAAAAATTAAAGGTACAATAGAGGTCACTTCCAGTTCTATTTTACTTTTTTTTTTTAATTTTTTGCTTTGTTGATTTTTGTTTTCTTTTTAAGATGAAGCTCATCCCTACAGAGTGACTGTGAAGTGAAACATATTATTCAGCAGAAAAAAAAAAATTAACTTGGTATCTACTTGAGTGCTCAGATATGTTCTTATAACCATTTGCAAGCTCAAACTGTACTTTCTTTACTCTGTGAGACTCTGTGGTACCTAGAAGGTACCACAAATTGATCCTCCAGTACTTATAAATGAAAAACAAAACTGTCAAGTTATATTTTATATGAGAGACAGTTATCAGTGAGTTAGAATTTAGCCTTATATTTTTCAAAGACATTCACTCTTCTAGAAAGACTCAGGCCTTGTTTCATTTTGTGACACACAGTTGCTTTAAGCTAGGCTGCATAGTGGGATGGTTTTTGGAACTGGTTGCCGCTTTGGTAAACACTGGCTTTTGCTCACTGTATTTCTCAAAACCCCAACTGTTCTCACTGTAACCTTATTATTCTTATGGTTGGAGGCTATGAATACATTAGCACCCAATCTGTGACCCCAAAGGTTTTCTTGTTAATAAGTTTTCCTGTTAAATTTCAGGGTTGTAAGGTCAGGTTCCAAATACTTTGGAGTTTTTCTATTTCACCAGAAGACTCTGAGCTCCATTATTAGGAGTGTTGATTTTGGCTTGTAGTTGCAATCAAAACTGAATAATTAAAAAAAGCAGCAGAGGTTCAAAATGATTGCCAGTTGCAATTATACACCAATATCAACAGCCCTAGAGCCTACTGGCTCCATCTGTTTTTGTTGTTTTTTTTTTCCCCCTGCTTTCTACAGCTATACTACCCCTATTTCTTCTTCTTACCTCATCTCACTCAGAACTGGAGAACTTCCACTTGCTGCTAGACTCCCACTTCATGGTCTAGGGAAGGGTTGCTTTTAGGAAGATGTGTCCTATTACAGGGATCCTGTTCTCTCCCCACGCAGGGACTTTGTCATCTTTTCTCCCATGAACCTGTCATGTGCAGGATGCCTCTTGTTGAAGGAAACATTGAGTAGCCGATTGAATTGATTAAAACCTTTTATTATTTTTATTAAACTGACAGCTGGAGAAAGGAACATCATCTCTTGTATAGAATTTTGGTAACATCTTTTATAATCTTTAATGAATTATCCAACAGCACTACTTGATGTCAAGATGTAACTGAACACCAGGTAGAGTATAAATATAGAATCATAGAAATTTTGAGTTGGAAGAAGTGTTCTTACAGATCGCTTGGTTCCAAACCCCTACTGTGGCAGGGATACCTTCCTCTAGTCTGGGTTGCCTGGGGCTCCATTCAACCTGACCTTGAATACTCTCAAAAATGAGAAATCCACAACATTTCTGGGCAACCTGCCTCTATGCCTCACCACCTTCACAGTGAATATTTTCATATATCTAATGTAAGTCTACTCTCTTTTATTTTAAAACCATTACTCCTTGTTCTCTACCTCTCTACTCCATGATAAAGAGGTTTTTTTTTCCATCTTTGTTGTAGGCTGTCCTTAAGTACTGGCAAACTGCTATACGGTCTCCTTGGAGCCTTCTCTGGGTTGAAGTCTCAGTCTTTTTTTTTTTTATTTTATTGGAGAGATGTTGCAGCCCTCTGATTATTTTTGCAGCTATCCTCTAGGTCTGTTCCAACAGGTCTACATGCTGGGGGACAGAGAGCTGAACACTGTGCAGATATCCAGGTGAGATCTCATGAGAGCAAGGCAGAGCAGGACACTCACCTCCCCTGTCCTACTGGCCACTCCTCTTTTGATGCAGCTAAGCTCATGTTGAAATTTTCAGCCACCAGTATCCTTAAATCCTTCTTCTCAGGGCTGCTCTCTATCCACTCTTTGACAGCCTCTATTCATGTCTGGGATTGCCCCAACTCAGGTGCATATGTGTAAGCAGGTTTCACAAATTGGGTTGGCTTAGTGAACAAAATTATGTGTGTTTCAGCTATGTCACCTTCCTGTTCTGTAAACAGAAATTAAAACAATACTTTCTTACAATCCTCTTTGTTTTCCCTTTCCCCCCTTTCTTCATTATATGTTGTGAATTTGAGCATTACTCTTTAAATTCCATATTAAAGAAGTGGCCTAATAATTTTTAATAACATAATAGAGACTAATTTATGTTTTATGTTCTATGATACTTTTTATTCAAATATTTGCATAGAGGAGTATTTTCTTTAGTGTGTACTTTTGTGAGAAGTCAAAAAGAGTACACTGTGCTTGTGAACACATTGTTCTTTTCTTTGTGCATACTTTATATTTGATGTGATAGGGAAGAAACAACAATAATGAGATTAGATTTGATTATTTCACATAAATGATGAAAAGGAGCCCACATACTTTCAAAATAAAACTGATTGAAATTCATTCTAGTTGGCTCCCATTAATCTTAATTGTAACTCCATATTTCAGTTTAATAGGCCAGTAAATTTTAGGAGGCTGTGCTATTGTTCTTATGTACTTTGTTAATTTTGAGCTCACAAAGTTTTTCCGACTTTGTGTCTGGGAAGGAACATCAACATTTTTATTTTCTGTATGGGTGTTTATATGCCAAGCAGTGCTACTTTTATTCAGAGCAACCTGAGAAAATGCAGCAAGTTCTTTAGAGGCAGGTTTTGTTATTGAGATAAGTTTGGCGTTTAAAAGAAAAAGCAAATTTTGCTGACCACTAGGAAGAGGGAATTGGCAAAACAAACCAACAGTACAGCACACGTATTTCTTCAGAAAACTGCTTGACTTTTTAATGTCCAAAAAGAAGATCTGGATTCACAGAATCACAGAATTCACAAAATTGTAGGGGTTGGAAGGGACCTCTAGAGATCATCGAGACCAACCCCCCTGCCAACACAGGTTCCCTACACCAGGTTGCACAAGTAACACAGTACCCAGGAGGACAAAAGTCTCAACCTTTCTGCACTCTGTGACTTCAAGAAGAGCTGAGTCTTCTTCACACCTTGCCAGACTAAATCCTCTATATAATATATAAATATCTATTAAATGTTACAGTAGGTTGATAACACACAGCCGTATCACACATTTATTAAAAGAAACTGTTCAGATACAGTCTGAACTGGAGAGTGAGAGAGCAGCTCAACTGCACTTAGATTGATGATACCTCTAAAAACTGTCCAAGCATGTGTGCAAGAGCCTGTCATAATAAGAGCTTAATAAATGAGAAAGTGAAGGACAAGTAACTTTCCCAATATACAAAAGTTGTGCACATGCATGTGTATGCTTCATTTATTCCCTACTCTCTTTCAGGTAAACAGTGCAGAAAGAGCAGTTTTGCCATTTTTGAGCTGACTTGTCTTGTAAAGAAATTTGCTAAGTCAGATATTGCTGAGGCTACAGCTCCATGCAACAAGGTTTCACTGAAGACTGCTTTTGTATCACTAAATTTCCACCAAGTTCAGTGCTGTGGTTTTTGTCTGCTGCTCCAGGAACCCACTGCAGATTTCTCAAAAATAGGATTTGTCCTCTCGCCTGAGAAGAGTAGCTGCTTCTGCAGAGGGCATGGAGACAGCATGGTGAGGAACCAGGTGGAGACTCAGGCCTGAGGCAACAATCACTGCAATGGGGTTGCCTACCCTGAGCAGCACTGTCCTGGTGGCAGCATCAGCCCTTGGCTGTGAACTCATGGGAAATCTGCACTCTTCAGAGGTCGATTGCACAAGGCAATTGCTCATTTTGCCTTTGTCTGAAGCTGCTATCATATACACCACAACTGGTAAGGGATTATGATAAAATAAAACTTTCACAGACAGCAGGATTTATGACATATCAAAACACGTTGCTCTCTATTGATGGCATAGAGCTATTTGTGTTTAGCATTTGGTAAGATAGGTGAATAATACATTCTGAAAATCAATATGCCTAAACATAGGGATTGAAAGACACATTTAGACACTTCCCTGGTGTGGAGCAGACACTATCATCTTATTTTTAGGCTTTGAATGTGGAAGTCTTGACAGCACAATATAAAGCACTCAGTGATGGCACCCAAGCAGAAAAGGGGCTGTACGTTGAGTGGTTCTTAGCACTTGAACACTCCATAAGGATAGTGTTTTCTGTGCAGTGATCTGATACAATTGCTCTCCTAGCTATAGAAGTTATTTCATCCATGATTACAGTAAGGGGCTTGACATAGTCCACATTTCTAATAGATATATATATATTTTTTTTTTCAGATAGCTTAACTCATTAATAATCTTGTTTCAGAACATACTTCATATGTAAAGCTCCTGATGTTACTGAAAAAAATACTTGAGAATAAAACAGCCTCTATATATCACTCTTTAATTTTGACATTAGCAGTGTTCAGGTGATTAAGGCACTGGCATAGTTTCTTAGTGAGTTACAAGTTATCTTCAGTAAAATACTGTACTGTTGAGTTTTGTGGTTCTAGGATTTTGTTGCAACAAAACCGCAAACAGTGAGTGAACTTATTCTTTGTGTTAATCACTTTCTTGAAACTGTGGTTGATATCTGATATGTGATTTTATGTGATTGCTGGTATGTGACTGACTGAAGGTACTCCAGATGTTTGTGACTACTTGTGTTTTGGTCTACGTACACTAAGAAAATATCCTAGAAGCAGAATGACTAAACTCGGTATTTACTGTCCTTCTAAAGGGGAAGGGCACTGAAGGCACCCAAAGGCTTCTGTTCTGCCACTGCTCCTGCACCTGTGCATGAAAAGCCCATTTCAGCACAGGTCTTCAGTTCTGCCTGAGACATGCTGGGATAGCTTTGATTCCTTCTGTCTTGGCTTCCTGATGGGACTTTCTGGATAGACCTCAGACCCATCTCCACAGTTTGGTCCTTGCTCCTGTCTGCTACTGTTTGCAAAGGGTCTTACTGGATGGACCTGATTCATTATCTTGTCTGCTAGTTTCTAGCTGGTTGATGGCTATCATGATCATCATGTTCTCTCCATTCAGAGGTGGTGGGGCAGTAACCTGCCCCAGCTCTCAGCAGTTCATCTTTCCACTAGGTCAGCCTAGATCCTCCTGCATTTTTTGCCTTGTTTGGATTAGAAAGCTGATCATTATATAATGACTTCTTTGAATCTCTTGCCCCAGGTCTCATTGGCCTTAGATGATTTGCTAACTCCAAAATAGATGAGGGTCATTTTGCAGTCATTCTTAGACTGGCTAGGAACATCTGCCTCATCTAATGGTATTTGGTGCCTTCTATGGAAAGGCAGATTTGTCCGGGCATGTGACATATTTAAAGAGTGTGAGTCATTAATGTCTGAAAGGACTTCAGTGCCCTCATGTTGTGTGCTTGACAGTGACATAAGCAAAGATGGTTTACTGAGCCATATTTGAAACACTCACATCATTGTGCCCACAGAAACATTGGAATATCTCAGCAATCACTTCTCATGGCTCAGTCAGTCCCTCTGAGAGTATGGAATAATAACTTATTATCAAGTTCTGTGAGATATGAATAATGTGCAGTTCTTGCCTGTTCCCTGCATAATTTCTTCTGAAATTGTACTGTTATTTCTACTGCACACTTTAATGCATGGTAAATTAAATACATTTTTTGAAAAAAAACATCTCAAAAACAAACCAATAGCCCTCAATCAAGCTAGCTAAATTGTTTAATAATTTACTTTGATGGAAGAGTCACAAGGGTGGTAAAATTTAATCCATCAGCTTTAAAGTAGAAATTTTGAAATAATCACTACAGTACCTGAGTGTTCAAACTCAGAAAATCCAAGAAGAGTGAAGTTCTAGCTGTCTGTTGGCAGGATAGATATCACAGTGTGCCATTTTGTGTCATCCTGTCTTAAACTGCATAATAGGATTTAAGAGATATAATGAGAAAAAGATGGCTGAAGTCCAAATCTGGGGTATGTGCTGCCACTGGTAAAGTATCTCATACAGAAAACATGACTCCTATGCATGAAAGATTTAATCCACTTCTAGATGGAATTTTAGTGTAGGTTACATAGAAGGCTGTACAGTATAGTTTCCTTTCCTGAACAGAACAATCTTTGCATTCATCAATACAGGCTTCTTGGCACACAAACAGTATTCAGGAGCACACAGGGGAAGAGAAAGACAGGCCGTGATAGAGGTGAAAAATGAGGGGAACTTGGCGCTTACACAAATGATACCAAAAATGCTGATTTAGGGAAGAAAAATGTAAATCATTTTTAATGTCTTTTGAAGAAAGGCGCCCAAGTTAAAGTTGCCTTGAAGGCATATGACCCAACCTGACATTGCTTTGGCAGCAGAATATGAAGTGTGTGTATGCAGAGATGAAATGTCCTTTGAAGAGCTACTCTCTGATGAAGGGTGCTCACAAACAGTATTTCTGACAATGACAGGAATACAAGAACTTTTTTAAAGCTCCATGCATTTATTTATTTATTTATATTTGGCTCTGGACAAAGAAAATCAGGTATGATTTATAAGTATGGAACATTTGTCACGTGTTTTGTTCTCCCATGCTTTCAAAATCAGATAGCTTTACCAGGCACTAATTCTGAGCAGATAACTGGTTCAAAGCCCTTTCTTTTCCTGGGATGTGAGCAGATACTGAGCTATCACTCTGAAATAAAAGGTATACATTTTTTTTGGATTGAACTAGCAAAAATTTATCACCTCAGAATACTAAGTTGATTGTAAAGTGACATCTTGACTGAGGAGCTATTCAGCATGGGGCTGTCTGTTTCTTAGGTTGGGTTGTTCTCATATATATAAGATCACATGATTCCACGATTAACATCACATAGAGTCTTTTCTGCCCCTAATGCTCCCTTTAGCCCTGGCCTTTACTCAGTGTGCACAAAAGAAGCCCTCATCTGCATCATGATACCAGGCTTTGTTGCTTATCGTATGCAAGTGTGTCCTTGTAAATTCTGGTGTTTTTTCTGCTCTGTTAGTGATACTTTTTTCAGTCTTGTTTCTCCTGTCATAGAGATCAATGCATTGCTTTTAAAGCAGAGCTCTTTCTTTGTCTTTTGCGTTCTTGAAGCCACTGTGAGGTGCATCACTGTGTAAGTGTGTATGAGCTTCTTTCCATTTCTTCTTTCCATCTATACTCACATCTAGGATGTGAGTATACAATAGGCTTACTTTTTTCCTTTCTCTTCTGTTCAGCTTCCATAACACAGCAGCACCTGCCCAATATAGAAGTTTCTTTCCATCCTCTCAAGACAGAGGTGAGGAGTACAAGGACTGTTCCTATGGTTCTATGCTGCAATAAGAAGGATTTCTGTGCTGCTGGAGGAACAAAAAAAAAGGACTCCAAATTTTTGTCTTTGTCCTGTTCAGTTCCTGTTTTTAAATACAGTATCTTGCAATATTAAATGCTTAAAGGAGTGCTGAACCTAATCACAACCTATTACTGGCCCAAAGTGGGACAAAAACTAAAAGAAATTTGTCCCAGCCAGGACAGGGTTGAAAATGTGCCGGCTTAGCTCCCACCTGCAGACATTTTCATTTCTGAAATCTGCATCCTGCTGCACTCGCTTGAGTCTCTGAAGGCTGGAAAAAAACTGTCAGAGTTGGATGATTTGATTATATTCTGCAGTTGCAGTTCCAGCCTAAAGAGCTTTAATTTCTCCCTGTGCTCCTTCATGCACATTGAAAGCTTCAAGGACTATCATCACCATCAGCTGCCATGGGAGCAGGGGAATTAGAAATGGGCTCTTTACGGAGGCTAACTGGGTCCTGCTGAGAGAAGAGAGTAATTTCAAGGTACAGGAGGGAGACCTGCTAGCCATGCCTTGAACTGCTCTGGTCCTCTTGCCCATTGTCCTCTATGGATATCTGCAGAGTTGAATCTTCAGGCTTGTGACAGACATCCTGAAGGGCAAAACTTTGTTTTTTTTTCATCTTATAAGGTGTTGCCAAGTTTACATTTGGGTGAAGAGCTCCCTAGAGGGGCTTCAGCCTGCTACTTGCTGATGCATATTTTTTGGCTTTTTGGATCCTTCCCCTGCAGATTGTGTGTGTGCTGCGTTCAGGGTACAGCTGACCCTAAGGAGATAGCCCAAAGTCCATTCATAACTTACCTTTTTATTTAACCTTGCTCTGACCAGTTACACAGGGATAAATTGAATCCCTCCTAACTTTTCCTTTCCAGTATGAACATTCTGAAAACCCTCGTGAACTGAGACTTTTCCTCTTTTGCAGATACGTTAATAACATTTCACAGCCTCTAAATTCTTGGCTCAGAAATGTATTTTATCTCTGCAGACTTTTCTGACTTTTAATAATGAGGGACCTGACTGCCCCAAGCAGAGAAATAAAGCAGCACGTTCTTTTTATTGGTGATTATACACTAAAAACATGTCCCTTTTTAAAAAAAAGGTGAAGAACTGACTTGGTTATATCAACAAGGAACATCAAGGAACATATTAGAATAATTTTCTTAGTTGCAGGTGGAAACAATTTATTTATCAGTATCTGTAGAACCTGCTTGGAGATTTAGGGAGATGTGCATTGCTTCATTTCCTATTTAACATTATCACTTTAATGTACACAGTATGTGGGCTTGTCTTCCATGTTTTTCAATGGTTGCTGTGTAAGAATCATAATATATCATTTTCACAAGCAATTTAGCACAGTGTAAGGGAGTAAATGTAGCTGTACTGTCTTAGTAGTTATTTTCTAATAAAATTCTAATAGATTTTGTGTTAATGACACAGAAGATGACATTTATGTCCTATCTTTTTTTTTTTTTTGTCTGTAGCAACACAGTGAAGCAAGAAGTTACAAGACCAGATGATAAGCTAATGCACTCCTTGCTCGTGAACAATAAAGTACTGTTGTAAAAAACAGCCTTTGACACTTTACTAATGGCTCTCTGTGAGATAGTACCTGGCAGGCCAGAATTGGTAAAGCTAGTTAGGCTTTCCTTCAGTAGAGATTGATTTGAGCCTTATATGAAATGGGATGTGCTTTAGCAACCCCAGTCTCCTCTCCCCTATGACTACAGGACTTTTTAAAGACAAAGGAAGGAAAAATAAGCAATCTTTTTTTCCCCCGTGCTTAATAAAGAAAGAAGATTAAAAAGACTCCCCTGTTGATAAGATCTAACCATTTATGTTCCTGTGTGATGAAAGGTGAACACCTGTTTAAGATTTATCTAGTATTTTGTCATCTATAATGAATCTAAAGGGCACAACAATTTGTCTTAACATTCTGTAATGCAATGAAGCTCATTTTAACAAATAACTGTATAAATAACATATTTACCAAGTCTCTTGGTTGACTGATCTTGTACTTGAGCTGTAAAACATTTCTAATTGATAACAGAGTGAAGATGAAATAGGAGAATGGATTATGTATGTATAGAAGAATCAAAAAAGGAGGTAAGGTACATGTGTCTCTGTGTGCATGCTTCTGTAAAACTTGCTGTGCTTTTCTGCGGGGTCTTATTTTATGCTTCTCAAAGTAACAATGATTATTATCACTGATTACAATGAACACTAAACAATGTACAGTTTGAAGCAGAAGTTCTTTACAACTTGACTGAAGCAAACACAACATTCCCTGCAATGTTGTGATATTCTCTGATTTATAGATGTAGAGAGTTCTTGTTTTCTGAAATATTGGGCTGTTCTCTTTACTAACACACTGCTGTTCTCTGTACAAAGGTTGATAATCTGTGTACTACAGAAGTAAAATAACATTATGGTTGAACTCAGTGCTTATAGGGTTATGCAGCCAATGAAAAAAGTTGTGAAACCTTAGTGCTGTCACCCACAACTTTCTTTCCAGTTTTCAAGGGCTGAACTTGAGTCTTTGTCTTGTGCCATGACAATTCTATATATCTAGTCATTGAACAGTCTGTCTGTTTTTGTGAGTCACTCAGTTCATTTCTGGACAATTGAGAAAAAGAAAATCAATAACATGAAATTAGAGGATAATAGCATGGCCATCTGAAGGATTAGTCAAGCTTCCCATACAAGCATATCAAGAATCTCTGTTCATTGTGACATCTACCTATGAAATAAGTGTATGAACAGAAAAGCTGAATTTTAGTTCCCGATGCAGAGGATATGATTTCTTCAGTAGTTCTTCTGGAATCTGGGAAGAAGGAGCATAGGTACGAGGCTACAATATTTAGCTTCTCCCTTCCAGAGGAAGCCCTAGAGAAATGAAAAAATGCATCCTTCATATGTTGGTGAGTTTACTTGCATAAAACAGGTCAGCATATTCCTATCTTGCTTAAGACACCTGAAGAATATCTAGTACTATTACTTAACATCCACTGGTGTTAGACAAGGTCTAAATATTTTGTATGTGGTACCGAAATAATGCAACAATATCTGTGCTGATTCCTGAAGATGGTACTTCCAAAGTATTATCTATCCTCTTTTAGGTCTTTCTGAAGATGCAATAAATTATATCCATTACTATTTCTCTCAACTATACTCTCAGACTGTAAAGAATCTGGACAAGAATCTCTCATGTAGACCTCTAGTTACTGAGGCATAACATTGTCTACATTACAGGCTCTATCTAGAAAGGCCATTTTTTGTGACATCCCCTGAATGTGAATTCCTTAGAATTTCCAATGAAACTTTCTTAGAAATGAAATGAATAAGTAGGAGCTAGAGCCATAGTGATGTAACAGGGTCTTTATGGTGGGACTCAGCGAGTTTCTTCTGTAGATCTTTTCCTGTACATGCTCTCCTACATTATTTATATGCATTTGTTGGAAAGCACAGATTGAATACACCAACCAGAACCTCTTCACTCACCTTGTTGAAAAGTCTTTTTTCTCTAATGCCTGTCACAGCTCTTTGGCTATATCTGTGCAATTTTTTTTAAAAAGGAAAATAATACAGTCGGTGTCCAGCTGAATAGTTACAAGATTTTTTGTCATAAGATATGTTGAAAGCTCTTAAGATGTTTAAGGGAAATAATCAGAATTCAGAGTGTATATTAAATTATCAACTATCTAATAAGTGTGCTACTTCCCAGCTGGGATCCTCCTGGTACGTTCATTCATCTTCAACCAGTGTAATTAAAGACGAAAGGTGCAACACTGATGATTCTTCTCTAGAGATCTCATCAGTTTAATTCTAGAACTATCAGTGGAAAAGGAATATCACATAAATTGTTCCGACTTAATTGGACACCTGCTGGAGGTCAAACAAAACACCAAGGTCTACTGAAATAGGGACTGCCTTCTGTAATTCAGTAATTTGGTAGGAGATGATTTGGCAAGGCAGTGCAATTTTTGTTTCATGCCTTTTAAAACTAAATTAGATCTGGTTAACAAAAACCAAACCAAAACAACAACAACAACAACAGCAACAAAAGAAAGAAGTGGAAAACATCAAGAGCAAGCAGGAATGTACTTAAAATCTCCCCGTGAGAAGTGATAGCTTGCTGCATTTAGCAAGTGAATCAAAACCTACAATGCTGGGGTTGCATTAAGAAGCTTCCTACTGGTGCAAAAAGGGTGTGCAGAATTACTCCTGATTTAGAAAAACTTTCTTAAAATTTCCTACTCAGAAAGTATGTCATAGGTAATGAGTAAATGAAGATTTTTCTTCTCAATTGTAATTTTAAAGCATATCAGTGCATTATGATGCAGTAGAAATACAACTCTCTTTAAAAATAATTTTGTCTGGTGCTGTCAAAAATAATTCTTCTTGATGATGTCACCAGACCCCCTTGTTCTGTTTATAGTAGTTATTTAAATCACTGTTTCCATAAATGTATATGAGTGCCATGAGGGTGTCTATATTTGTTACTGAAGGTGTCTCAAGAATCTTGAAGCAATCTCCCAATCTAATTAAGAGTGCTACAATTTCAGCACAAAGAGCTGTGTTGCCAGTATTAAAGGTTCAAAAATTGTGAGTCAGGGCCTCATAACTCGAAACTGAACCCAAATGTAAATATTTTGAAGTGTATTTCTTATGTTTTGGACTTGCTTTTAATTATTCAGCTCTACCCCTTGTGCATTTGTGTGTGTGTGTACGTGCATACATGTATGCTGCTGTAATTCTAGTATTGTGTTTTGTACTGCTCTCCAAGACCTGCAAAAGAAAGAAATGAGAAAAAGGAACAGAGGAAACATTTTCACATGAGAAGAAGAGGTGAGGCAGTATCTTGATTTTCCAGGCTCTTTTTGCCTCTTCCTCCTTTTGATGCTCAGGTGAGAAGTTAACGTTCCTAACTGTTGTTCAGCCAGAAACAGAAAAGTATGTGGTGAATGGAACAAGCCCTGGACTAGGACATCAGTCTCTGTGTTTGGAGATCAAGCCAGCACCTTCCTTGTACTGTTTATAGGACAAAGATAAGATTTGGTGATAATGGTTTGAGCCCATGTGCTGCAGGACACAGTATTTATGATGCATTACTTTTGTTCTACGACTGCAGCATTCAAGTAATGGATGTAAAAATGTTGCTCAGCTTTCACATTGGTGTTGACAATTTGTATCTGATTCTTCAAGACAAACCAGAATAAAAGATTCTCTGATTGGATAAATGGTTGCAAGAGATAAGTTCTGCTTTTACAGTTTACTATAGCTGATGTTATCCCCAGAATTTCAATTAGTGAATTACCATTGCCAACTGTCATATCTTTTGAGGCATTATGAAAGCTTTGCATCAGGAATGGCTGCATTACAGCTTCATACAGCACAGGAGCTGCTGCTTGTGGATAGAAACACTTGATTTAAAAAAAAAAAAAAAAAAAAAGAAGCTTTACAAGTATTATTTTATGTCCCTATAAAAATATTTTCATACTTCATTCTTTTCTTCAGACTCTTAATCATGTTGCTTCTCTGTGCATGCTCTTCTAAATCCAACCCTCTTTTGATAATCTCTCCTTCAATAATCCATTCTTCTCTTAGCTGACTTGAAGACCCGAGCCACTTTGCTCCTTTGTGATGCTAGTGACTTTCCCAGAGATATCATCTGTAAGTAAACTAATGTGAGAAGCTGAGTTTAATGAAGCTTTGAGTATGTCTGTTATTTGATTTTATCACTTCAGTTTTGACTCCTTTTCTCACTAATTAATGTGTGCTGATAGTATACTGTCCATACTTGTTAACTTGGCCAACCACCATGACAACATATTCCCATTATCACCAACTGTTTGTACCTTGTCTACATTGCATTTTGGCAGTGAAGTAGATTCCTATAATTTTTAGCACTATATTTTAAAGCTGGAGAATATGGATATGCAAACAGCATGGTCTTTTGCAAAGCCCTTTGGAATAATGCAAAAACAACAGGATGGGGGTTCTTTTAATGTTATCTAAAACACAGATAAGCCATATTTGCTTGGTATTTATGCTTAATCTGTTGTCAACAGACAGAAAAACAGTAATCAAAATTACTTTTAGGACTCATTTTGTCCAAACAGAGGAATATAAGATAACTAGGAGAAATTATCCTCTGCAGGTGACCACAGTACAGCTTCTCTCGATGCAAGGAAAAGTCTGTGGTCCATGCACTACCATTCTGATTCCAGCTCATAGCTGTGACACAACATCTTTTTACTTGTAATGATACAGTCAAGGAAACTGTCACCTTCAGCCTTGTATTGACTCAATAGTTCCTGAAAAATGTGCATACATTGTTCTTTCTGCTCCTGTATGAGCATTCATGAGACTCACCTGGCAAAAAAATTGCAATATTCCTATGTTGCCACTACTGTTTCCAATGCATTCAAACTGACATTCAGCTCCTTACAAAGTTCCTTGGTTGTAATCCGCTGATTTGCACAGATGAGTTGATCAAGACATTCTTCATTTCATGGTGTGACAGTTGTGTATCGCCATTCAGAATATGAGTTGTCTTTCACGCTGCTGTCACTACCCCTGAAATGCACCACCCGCTGCCTCACTGTGCTCACATCCACTGTTTGATCTCCATAAATGTTCAAGAAGCATCAGTGAATGTCAAGGGGTGCAATTTTTTCTACAAGGAGGAATTCAGTACCACACCTTTGCTTCATCCACGCTTGCATGTCAGATGCCATTTTTTTCACACTGCCCCTCTGCTGGTGTCTGTCACATGGTAACAAAATGCAACAATATTGATAGGAAAATTCAGCCTTTGCTGCCATGTCGCCAGCATCTGCCTCTGAGGTAGTGGGACAATATATTAAAAGAGGAAGCATTACTTTTGGAGTAGCCCTCATATTTTTGTCCTTGTTCACAGTGCAACTGATGAGTATAAGCAGTTATGTTCTTATTGTGTGAGTCAAAAAGCAGCCTCCTGCAGGGATAATACACAATTCCCTCATGTTCAGTCAGCCATAATGCCTCAAGAGGTGAACCATATTCTGCTACAAGTAATTTTGGTCTTTTTCCTTAATAAACACAGTCAGAGCTCAAGACCTATATTTTAACATTAGTGGAACAGCTGTATTGCTAACCCTTAATAGCGCTTGACCTGTGATTAAACCTTTTCTGTTAAAATTCCTCAGTTCCAGTATTTTTCCCTTGTGTTAACACTTTAAGAAGGTGAATTTGTCCTTGAGAGAACAAAGTTCTTCCCTCCAGACCTCATACATTTTTCTGGAAATCTCCTACCTCACAGTTAGGTAGCTGTGGGTCTCAATGTACAACGTAAGTTCAGTTCCACCAAGGTATTGTACTGGTTAATACAGTGAAATGTATACAAGCCCCATTTATTATCCATGACAACAATGTAGATGTTCTGAATGCTAAGTGATTTATTTAATGAAGAATATATTAATTTTTCTCATCTTGTCCAGAAACACTTAGTGGCCAGTTCTGGCACTGAGATGTATATGATAGCAAGTAAATATGGCATTTTAGTCAGCAATTAAACAAAAAATTGCTATAATTTTAAATTCAGCTATTAAGTGTACTGCTCCTATCTAAAGTAGTACTTGGCTAAGAGCTGTAACTAATCAATTTTTAAAGGAGTTTGGTTGGTGGTCTCAGGGGAAATGAGGTAGTTTGTATGAAAACATATTAATTATGGAGTTTCTTCTGTAATGATGCATGACATTTAGAGTATTGATGTAGCAACTTCTCCAACTTAAATCATCTAACAAGCATTTCTAGTTTTATCTCATCTATCTTGATTGTTGGTTATATTTATTACAGAATGAAAATAAGATTTTAGATTTTTAATTATTAGCTATAACAGATTCCAGAGTAGCTCAATGAATAAAATTCTTTGTAAAAAGCATATAGCTACAGCAGATTTTTGCTGAATGGGACATTTGTCTTTCTCCAAGATCAATATTACTTTCCTCTTCAATGTGTCATATTTTGCTCTGAAGTGAACAGAAAACTTCTTCATGGAAAAGATTTTACAATTCTGACATTATTTTTAATTTGTTTTAGAATGTCCCTGTTAGAATCTTTGAAGTAAATCAATATTTTAGCATTGTTTATTAATAAAAAAACCCACAGTTTTTAATGAAGAAGTAAATGCTGTACCTTTCTCACGGATTGGAGCGACATATCTGACTATCTGGTGCAGAAGTTCCTGCATTTTGCCTGCGGAAAGAAGGGAAAAGCTAGAGCTGCTTCCAGATTATGTGGGCAAGGTTGGTCCTGAAGGTTCCTGTGCTGAAGAAAGCTGAACACACGCCGTCGTGGTACGACACTGCAAAGACTGAAAAGCAAATGGAAGGACGGACTGTCAGGATTCAACCCAGGCATGGTGCGCATGGTTAGTGTAAGACACAGCCTGCTGGTCTTCATATGGCAGAAAGCAGCAAGGCAAAGAACTGAGGTGGAGCTGCCTGAACCTGTCTCCTCTACCGAGCGCAAAAGGGCATGAGCATGTACAAGCTTCGGTTTACTGCAACATAGCCTCAAACACGTCACCCTCGAAACAGAGATCATTCAAAGCTGTTACAGAAGAACGAAAGTGAAAAGCTTCCAAAATATTTTTTCCTTTTAATCATTGCTCCTTGAAGGACAGGTCCTTTCCTCCAGCTCTGTTCTCACTCGTGCCTTCCCTTGTCACAGAAAGCTCTGTATGAAAAGCCTGGCCTTTGGTCTGCCCCCTTTGTGTGCCTGCCTTCTACTCCTTGGGTTCTCTGTCGCCGAATCCCTGAAGTCTAGGCTATTCCAGCTGAATGTTCTAGGGACAGTCTCCTATTCCTGCCAGAGAGCTTTGTTCAACCCAGCAAGCACCACCTCACACAAATCCCACTGACAACTTTCCCTTCTGGCTTCTTAATAAACAGAGCATTAAACACAGCAGACAGTAAGCTGTGGATAAACAGATAAAACAGGGACCAGCTTCTCTGTTTTGTGTATCAGATGTTGCAGTAAGGATTAAAGGATGTGTTCTGGTAATCCTGTTTCTTCAAGCAACTCACTAAAGTAAGATTTCCTCTTTGTGAGGGTAACGCATTTCAAAGAGGATGTTAATTTACAAATATCTCTGTTTCTCCTGTATTTTTGTAACGGGTGAAATCTATACATAGGTAAGACTGTTTCAGGCAGCCATTTCAAATATGTTTACTGATCTTTGAAGCTAAGGATCTTTTGTGATGGTATCTTTCAGATTCTTCACAGACATTGTACAACATCACTTTCAGTTAAAATAAAGTTATTGTTAGTGCCTGTATCTGACTATCATGTCTGAAAGTGAGACATTTAAGAATTAAAAGTACATCCATTACTGATTAGACAAAAGAGTTTTGGTTGAGGTCAGACAATCATATTCTTGACGTATCTGAGCTTAGCACTGTGGTGTTTTTGGAATGAAGTGGATCAGATCTGAAGATGCTTCTTTTGTTAATCTGATTTTTAATGTTGGGATATGGTTGGCAAGAAGTATGGGCTTCAGAAGATGGTTGCACTAATCTGTCAGCGCCACTAGATCCTGTGCCCATTTCCCATTGCACTTTATGTTCTTGTGTGTTTTCTTCTGCTGAAGTTTGCTCTGAGTTAATCTGACCTCTTGATGAGACATTTTGGCTTATTCAACGAGCAGAAAATTATCTCACTTTTTTGCTTGCTGAATGAGATGAACTGAGTAATCAAATTGTTGGAGCAATCACAAAGGAAGTGCTAAATACACACAGCTGGGAGTGAGGAAAATGAGAAAGAAAACCATATTTTTAGTTGTAAGAAGCTTTTAGTCAATCTCAGCACTCTCGTGAAACTCATTCTTGGTGAAGAACTTCCATGTCATTTTCACTCTGTCTCTGGTCTAGAGAAACCTGCATACATTGGCTGCTAACACTAGGGGTTCTGCAGAAGTGTTTGATAGAAGGCTGTTTGATTTGAGTGGATCCCTTGGTGGAGATGTCACTGGCAATGAATACTGATAGACTGAAGCTAATTAATAAGTCAGTGTGAAGAACTTTTTCGTTCTTATATATATTTTTATGAATGTAAAGCTGGTTATGATTTGTTGACTCTTGCAAATGATTTTGCTATTTACACTTCAAAAACATTCATGGGAATCCAGAAGTTTTTTTAAGACTACAGATGTACCCACTTACTATGTCTGTTAATTGCATGAACAGGATGAGAATGTCTCAGAATCTGCAATGCTAAATAATGTGAGACTTTACTGAAGAGTTTGCTTGCTGGAAAGATATAAAGCCATAGAGAAATGAGCATATTAGAGAGGTTTATTTTTGTCAATATAGACAAATGCTAGTGATTATATGAGGATTTTCAAGTTTTACAGTGTTCAGCAATCACCATAAAAAAGCAGATTTTCAAAATAAACCAGCTTCTCTCTAGACACTATAATAAGAGACAAATTTTTGAAATTATATTTAGTATCCTAAATTATTCTCTTTCTGGGTAGTTTTCAAACACAATCAATGCTTAGATTTCGGGTTCTTCCAAAAATTTGGCTTAAGCTCTCCATATTGTACTCAACTGGCTCCAGATAGCATTAGGGCAGAATCAAGTACCTGCTCACCATTTTTGATCAAGGGGTAGATCCGGATCAAAACAGTGATAAAATAAGAAAAGCAGGTGACAATCAGTGAAAAATTTCTATTCCTTGGAAGGAACTCAAAGAATGACAAAGTAACAAATATCAAATCAAGAATCAAAGACGTGTGATTTGGAAAGTTATTTTAAGTTCAATTCCATGATGACATTCACAGAAAAATGCTAGGTTCTCCAAAAATAATACCTCTTCTTTATTCCCATGGAAACTGCAAAGAGAACAATAATGCTATCTGATAGAGCAAATTCTCAGTTATGAAACTCTATTTTGCTACATAGTCACCATCATTAGCTACACATTTTAATTGCTCTTATCAAAATCTGCACCAGCGGAGATGACACACTGTTGCAGTTGCCTCTGCTGAAATGCACAACCATCACCTCTCTGTGCTCACAACCACTGTTTGGTCTCCATAAATGTTCAATAAACATCAGTGAATGTCAAGGGGTTCAATTTTTTTTCCCCACATGGAGTAATTCAGTGCTGTACATTTGCTTTAGCTATACATCCTTGTCAGACAACAAATTTGTCACACTGCCCCTCTGCTACCATTTGTCAAATGGCAACAAAATGTAATGGAATATTGATGAGAAGATTCGACCTCTACTGCCATAGCACCATCATCTACCTCCGATGTTGTGGGCCAACATCATAGAATAGGAGGTATTAGTTTTGGAGCAGTCCTTGTACTTTTCTTCGTAGTTGAAATTCGGCTGATCAACTGAGCTACTTAGATTCGTATCTACAAAAATGATAGAAAGAATTTTGAAAGTATAAAATGACAGAATTTTACTGAGAAACTTGACTAATCCGTATACAAGAACATTGTTATTACAATAATTTATTACAAGTTCATTATATGGATGAATTGGTATTAAGTAGTGAGAAAATAAAGAAAATAAATAAAGAAAATAAAATGAAATAGAACAGCTAGTACTTAAGCTTTGGGTTGGTGTTGGACATAGTGGAGTAACAAAAACAGCTGTACAGGGAGTGTGAGCCAAAGAAATGGGTATTAGAACTATACAGAATGAAGTAGTATATCATCTAGTATAGAACAATGACCATGACTGCAAAGGTTTAAATGATTGGATAAGAATGAAAAAAATTACTTTCACTCAGTGTTTATCCATCTAATAAACTGTAAATGGAAAAAAAAAAAAAAGCAAGTACAAAACAAAGAAAATCTCCAAAGGCAGTGAATAAAAGGATCCCTGAGTTAAAACTGTTTTGGAGAAAAATGATAGAAAGCATAATATTGGCAGTGTACCACAAGTGTGGTGATATCTATGTATTCAGTATTGATTTTAGAAACCTAAGTACCACTGGAAATTTGTTTAACTAAGTATTAACTTCTCCAGGAAAAAATAGAGAACAAGAGCTGTGAAGAAATCCAGCACAAGTCTGTTAAGAGTGGTCTGCCTTATTTTTTCCAAATAGTCAGTGAATCAACTAACACTGATGCTATTTTAAGCTTGAATTTGCATGAAGAAAATTCATTCAAGAATAGAGTATAATAGAAAATGACTTTGAATAGGAGGTTACTGTAGCTTTTCAGCCTGAATGAAAGGGCAAAACCAGGTTCTCAGTCTGGATGGGAGAAAAGCCTTAAATGAAGGAGTGTTGGTCAGGAGAATTGCATAATAAGATACAAGCCATACTCTTGTCTATGGAGAAAACTCAGAATTAAGAAAAAAAAAGGAAAATGAGTTTAGAATTTCATCCCAAGGAAAAAGAGTGGAGGAAATGTTGGAAATGTACAAGTGTTAATGTTCAATGTAAGGGGTTTATAGTATTATGTACATTGAAAGGGATTTCTTAGAGGTCAGCACATCCAAACCTTAATGAACAACTAACTGGAGCAGGATGCCTTGTGCAATTGGGTTTTTGAGTATTTCCAAGGAGGGAGATCCAGCAACACCTTTGAGCTACTCTCCCACTAGGTAACTGAGGACATCAGTAAGATTCCTGCCCCTAGTCTTCTCAAGAAGAAAATGAACAAAAACAGTTCTTTGTCTTCTCAGACATATCAGCTTAATATTCTGCTGCTATTGTGGAAAGACCAACCCACAGAATCACAGAGCCAGTAACAAAATTTTTAATGACTTTCTTTGTTTTGAAATCATTATGCAGTGAATGTAGTGTCTGTTTATGGGGAAAAGTAGCCTGAGCAGCCTATGTCTGTTAGCTGAATATGGCATAAAATTCAGAACATGTTTTAAAAGAGACAATAGTTAAAGACATTGAAGATCATCAGAAACCAGATAAAATGTGTCAAAATTCTATCAATACAGAAATTTATATTCCTACCTTTACATAATCTGTTTAGTATAAGAATTACTTCCTAGCAAAAGGAATAGAGGATACCTGATTTAGAATGACTGAATATGGGATATCTGATTTAGAATGACTGTATCATAGTGTACGAAGTTCCCATTCATTAAACTTGAGAATAAGGATGATAAAAAATAATAATAAAATATCAAATAGGAAAATAACTGATTAGAAAGGGAGGAAGCCATATTTGTGATATAGGCTTGAGGGAGGTTATTTGAGGGAGAGTGTTCTTCTGGAGAAGGAATCTGAATGCAACTCTTACATTCTTTTTGTTAATGAATGAGTCGGGGAAGCACTGTTAATTCAGAACAGGATCATAATATGACACTGGCAAGAACTGGGTGACTTTGAGAACTGAGATAATAGAAACGGGATGGCATTTAAAAGAAATACAAGTGTAGAAATGTCTCATAAAAGTAGGATCTTACCAGTATAGCAGACAAAATAAAAGAGCTTTTTTTTTTTTTTTTTTTTTTTCCTTGATTAGAAAATGATACAAATAACCAAAATGATGTAATTCTAAAGGAAGAAAATGCAATTCTAGGAAGTGACAGCTAAGGAAGGAAGAGAGTAAAGGTGACTGGATGAGAAATACCTTCACCATTATTGTAAATCAGCCTTTGAGAATGATAACTGACACCAGAAGAGGTGCAGAGAAAGGCTAAGAAGATGGCTGGGGGTGTAAGCATAAACAAAGAAAATTTGCTTTTTTTAGTCCAGCAAATCAAAAGCTGAGAAAATATTTAATATAGGCTTGTATTACTTACATGTAGTTGTCTGAGACTGCTAGGAATGAGATTTTTCCAGTCAGATACTCCTTCATCTGCTGATTTCAGATTCTTTACTACTCACCATGGAATTGATCTGAAATTGCAGCAGTTATTCAGAGACTAGGCATGGGGAATTAAAAGAATTTAAATAGAATAGTACAAGCCTAGACACTTTCATCCTGTCTTGAACTGCCATTATATGCATTTAAGAGGGAAAAAACTCTGGAAAATGTGTGGAGTTAAATTCTGACTGCATTGAAGACAATGGTGAAATTGAATGTTTATGACTTTCTCCCGGCAGTATACCTTGTTTGAGAAAAGCTTCTTGGAGAGAAGTAGTTCATTTTTACTGTCACCTGATCTCTCTATTGTTCACATTCTTTGTTCAAATTTAGAACTGTTAGCATAACTAGTTTTAAAAGAAGAAAAAAACCCTGACATTATAAGACTAATACTGTTGGAATGAAGAAATCAGGCCAAGCAGGAATATTGGTTTTTTTTTCATTCTCTCTTTTTTTTTTTTCTCAATCTGAACAAATAATTAACAGGAAT